TGAAGTTCTGAACAGTAATGGGAATGGGTTGCTGCCTTGGACTGCCTGCCTACGATGGTTTTTACCGAACAATATTGCAAAGTCAGATACTGTGGGGCTGGAGTGATGCAAGGAATGCACTGATTTGATTCACAAGATTAAAATCCAAATGCTAGAAGTCAGTGAATCCCCAAAAGGGTTCTGGTAGACAAATAAGAACAGCAGAGCAGGATATAAAGCTTATTATCTATTTATATGATGTTACTAAGGTCATTACTGTAAGAACATGTTCTGTTCTGGCATCTACTCTTCAAAAAAAAAAAATTCAGAATATTAGAAATAGTTTAAAAAGCTAACAACATGATGAAGAAAAAAATGAAGTAATTGAATCCATTCATATGAAGTAAAAATAGAAGGTATTTTGATCACGGTATGTCAAATCTCTGCATCAAGACAACATTTGCAGCAACAGAAAATCCTCCAGAAGAGATATATTCAAATCCAATGGTTGGGAGCCAAAGCAAGATGAACTCAAACGCAGGGCTGGGTGTTTTTTTTGTGGTTGGTTTGGTTTTTTTGTTTTGCTTGGTTTGGGTTTTTTTGTGGGTTTTTTTCTTTTTTTTGAGAGAGAGAGGACAGTAGTTGCTCAAGTAACTTACCTACAGAGGTGACCAATTCTTTTTCTGAAGTTCTTAAAGCTGCTAGACCTCTTTTTTGCTAAAAAGAATGCGTAATGTATGCGTAACTTCTTGGCATTATGCTTCTGACGTTGAAATGAGTCCATGAAGTTTTTACGACTGTGATACCCAGAAAAGTGATCAGATACAAGTTCCCTCTACCTTTACCAACAAACGGAAAGGTGAGTCTCTGATGGCCCTTACCACTGAAACCTTTGTTTCAATTGCTAATTTGCCTTCTACTTCTGGGAGCCTGTAGGTAGCACCCACTGTTTTTAAAGCAGTAGTGGGTGCAATCCTTTCTCCAAGCAGAACTTGGCTCTGTGGGCAAACCTTTGCTCACTAATGTGAATGAGTTGGCTCAAACTAAAAACCCAGGAAGGCAGAAAGAACCGGGAGACCCATACTGCAGCCCAAATCCCCAGTGGAGGGGAAAGGAAGGAATTCTGTATCCAGAAGCACACACAGAGAGGGACTGGGATGAGTAAATCAGCTGCACCTGGGGAACTCAATGCAGCTGTTTGCTGGAAGCAATCACCCTTCAAACAGCTCCAGAGGTGTATGTGAGAGGGACAGAATATGGCTTCCAATTCTTTTATATGCTCAATTGCGATATTAAACGGAGACACAAAATCTTGAGACAGTTGCTAAGGAAATCCTAATGGTGGATGAAAAGCCAGAGGGGGGAAAAAGGCCCCTGGTGGAAACTGGCCAGCCCCACTTGCAGAGCTAGTGGAAACCACAGTGGCTTCCCAAAAGCTGCTGTAGTGACCTGACGTTTTAAAGCACTCAGATGCTGCTGGTGAAATGAATCTCAGCAGTGGATTTGTCATTGAGAAGATTCAAGCTGAAGAAATGATTCTTGCAAGTGGCAGAACCCGACAGATTAAGGCAGGAGACATTCAAAACCTTATGTAAAAGCACACTGAAAATTTGAACAGGTAACATACTTCAGAAGACTTGATTAGAAAAATAACTTATGAATATACCCCAAAAATACATGCACAGATGATTACCTTTGCTTCAGCCAGCAGTCATTTGATACTAAGTCTCACTAAGACTGTTTTATGAGAAAACTTTACAATATATTGTGCAAGCTCACAATTCTCCATTTAGCACCAAAAATTTCAGAGATTCTGCAAGAAGGATCAAGCTAAGACTCTGGAAGAATGCATTTAATTCAGCTACAAGGAACAGGAAAATTACACTGTATTTTTAATGTATTGTATATTTAGAAATAAAAGGCCTGCTGCTGTAGACCCCATGTAGGTAGAATCCTTTTAGAATTTTGAAAAAGGTACCTCAGTCAGAGCACCAGGACAAAACTGAAGAAGTGTTCAGAGATTTTATTACATTAAATCTTCCAAATTGAACTAGCAGCTGATAAAACAACCACTCAGACTAATTTTTCTAGTATGAGGAACTTTTTTAAACCCTCAAACATCAGTGCAAGCTCAGAGCACTTATTTTACAAGCAGAGCATCTTACACATTTGTGAAAAGCTGCTCGTTGATGAACTCCAAGCTCATCAACCTCACAACTGAAAAGAACGAACGTAAACAAGGATGCAAAGGAGCACACGCATTTACCACAAACAAACGCAACAACCAACCAGGAAGGTTTGTGCACAGAGTGCTTGCAAAGTAACTCTGCTTGCTGCTTTAGCATCAAAGCACTGAAGAACAGCAGCTTCCCAGTTATCCAATCCTTCTCCAGGGATTCCCACAATGGAAGCGTGAACTTGTGCATTTTAGCTCATTCCTGATCATTTTGAACATGCAAATGTCAAGAACTCCTGGGAAAGGCACTGTATTAGGAACCACAGGTATACTTATAAGCACAAACCCCCATGCAATGCATACTACGCACCTGTGTATAGAATACAAATACGCGCACATGCACATAATTAAATTAGAAATCTTTCTCCTTTAATACAGCCATGTTGGGTCTCAAACTTCAGCTCTCTGATGCTCTGAAGGTTTCTAAAAACACCACATTTATCTTTAATAGAAGAACAAACTTATGTCGCAGGCAGCGCTGCTCAGTATGGGGCACCAACCGGCAGCGTGGGCCTGCCCCGAGGTTGGTCCCGGGGACCTCGGCACCTTCCCCGCTGGCAGGCAGGAGGGACCACAGGCTCCGCTCCACCTCCACACACCATGCCTACATGCTGCCGGCAGGGAGGAGGGAACAGAACCCATCGGAAAAGAAACAGTAGCTGAAAGAGGGAGAAACAGGGAGTTCAAGATGAGAGGAGGCAGCAGCAGGCTCCCTTCCCCTAGAAGGGCTTTCCACTACCGCCCCGCCATCGGCGGGCTCCGCCCCTCCCGTGG